AGCACCTCAGAAGCTTGCTCTTTACCAAAGTCTTGGACTGAAACTCTGTGTTCAGGACCTCTTTCTGCAGACAGTACAAAATTCTAATCATGGTGGGAAGCAGAATGAAAGGGCATTGGATTTCACTAGCAAATGTCTTCATTGTGTAGCGTCTTCAGCTTCAAACCACTGTTCCATGAAGGAGTTTGCACCAGAGATAACTGATACAGTATGGGTTTGTTTGCAGGCTTCGCTAGCAGAAACAACGCAATGCAATGACTCTAATTCCCTCCTTATCCTCCCATAAATGCCGTGCAGTGCTAGTGCTATGCAAGGCCAAGGAGAAAAATCACATCTCCCCTAACATACAGGGGATGACATGCATCAGGTTCAGCAGAGATTTAATTCAAGATAAGTACCTTGTCATTGGTAAAAATTATCAAGAGTTGTCACCTGATGCTGATTTTATCCTTTGTAGCTAAGAATTTGAGGCACCATCCTGAGTGCCAGCGGAGTGCTGGGTAAAACACACTCACAGCCAGGATGTCCCAGGAGTATCCCCAAAGAGCAAATCCAGGTGACAAGGTCCCTGGGAATGTTCTGCACTGTTGCACACTGGTGGCAGTTATGGGAAGGTGATGGTAGGAACGACTTCAGAAGACAACTTCTCAAAACGAGGTGCTGTATATAATGTAGAATATCCTCCTCTATGTATGCTGTATATAACGTAGAATATCCCTCTATACACTTGCAATGCTTAGCAGGAGTTTCCACTGACCAGTTTGGCCCTACAGATGTTGAAGTTACTCTTATAGGAAATGATTGATGCTCCTTCATGCCCAGCTTGTGGAGCACTCAGAGCCCAAACTTAGGTGTGAACTCACTGTGAGAGGTAAAAACAAAGCTGCATTATGTAATAAGATTTAACGATTATTTGAATCTCTTTTTCCACCCCACTGGATCATTGATTTAACCTTCCTTGCTTTGTTCATGGAATACTGCTAAAATAAGTAACCATATTCTGAAGTTAATCAGGATCATTTTTTGTGTAACATAGCAAAAGCGTTTTGAGTTTCGCTTTATCTCTTCAGGAAAGGAGCACTGAAAGAACCAATATTTTTGCTAGGAACTGCCAAACATTTGCAAAATGTTCAGCTCACGTGGCCATAGGGAATGAATGCGTAAACTATTACATGTGTAGTCTAAGGTTCAACCATAATTTTCTCTCAGGGGAAAACAAAAGCAGACCTTTTAAAGCCACCACTAAGGAGATTTCTATTTAGAGAATATGCAATAACTCATATTGAGACAAGATTTTAATCTCAGCAAAGCTTTGGATAATCTGCTGGCACCTGTGTTTGCTGCTCTTCCACCCCACTGCACTGGTTAGAGCGGGGCCAAAGGCCGGCTCCTGCTGGCAGCAGCACTCCTGTGCACGGGTGAGATGCTCCAGGAGAGAGGCAAAGGCACATGGGCTCTGTGCCCACAGCCATCACCTACAGGAAAGGACATCAGCGCCTGCTTCTTTTGGAAGCTCTTACTCCCTTCCCGAGTGCCAAGCTGGCAGGTGTTGCGCGCTGTGATCCGCGTTGTGTGATGCATTGACTAAAAGGTGTGAAGCACAGAGAACACTGTGAGGGGGGAACAGGTAGGAAGGCACTTTTGGGAGTGGGTTTTGAAACTTTTGGCAAGGTTTTTCAACTGCAGAGCTGAGACACTGGGCACATCAGCCTGAGAGCTCTGGGGAGTCTTACATTAGCTTCCAGTTTGGGGGAGGGGGGGACATAGCAACACTTCAGTGCCATGGTGGTGGTGCTGAGGAGTCCTGTTTCTGCTGAGGACCCAGTGCCTGACATTGGCACCAGCTGAGCAGCCCTGTATGTAGGGGTTCAGTCTCTGTTAAGGAGAAAAAATAAATGAATAAAAAGATGATTTTCTACATTATAATTTGGGCAGTGTGGGGAATGGTTAGAAAAGGAGCTCCAGTAGCTGGACACAGGAAGGGAAAGGAAAAAATCTGTATCTGATGCATCTTAAATAGCTTTCATACCCTTTAAAATGAGCATTAGTCATGTGAAAGGGTTAAAAATAACATCAGATTTATCTAGTTCTTGGGTTCTGTGATTCATGATTCACATTTTGAAGCCTACACCCTGTGAAGAACAGTGCATTATTAGGGGAAGGAAAAAGGCTTGCCAGGGACAGAAGGTAATTTCCCGTAGCAGGTGCGTACAGCAGGTGGTACACAGTGTACCTGCAACGAAAAGGTAGATTTAGGCTAAGATTTTATTTAATATGGAAAACTTATTGCATCCTGAGCCACTACTGGGGATGTGCCAAAAATTGTGTCTGCAGCATGATTTATTACGTGGAAATACCACCGAAGTAATCAGTGGAGTTACTAATTAATACAAATCTGCATTTTTGCATAAGCAATTAGTGCAAAGAGAGTGCAATGAAAGAGGAAGTTTGACTCATTTAATCTCAGTGTCTATTCAAGCGGAAAGACCCACCAGGGCCAGGCGCTAGGATCCACGTTTGGATTTTTTTTCTCTCCTTTTGATTAGTTAAAGGAACTAAAAGGTCAAATTATCAATATTTAATTCAAATGGAAATGCATTTGTTCAAGAGGAAAGAAAACACTTTATTTAAACAAGGTGGGACTCTGGGGGTAAATGGCTGGATCAAAAATAATTAGATTTTGCGGTTATAACGGCATCTAAATCCCGTCTGATAAGAATCCTTTTTCCTAATGACGGCGGAGCTCCGACACCGGGGCGGCTGCCGACGTTATTTAAGCCGCGGCTAGGCCTGCCGCTACGGTTTAGACATTTGCTTTAATGGTACGTACTCCTCTGATTTGTTTTTGGTTTTTAATCAATTTGAACGATATTTTCAATCTATTGTGATTCCGTAATCGTGTGTACTCGACTAAAAGAGTCATTTAAAAAGCTGATAATTACACTGCGGCGGCGATGTCTTTTCCATTAACTAAATAGAAGTTTACATTTATAGAATTAAAACAACAGCGGCATTTACCCAACAGCGAAAGCCTCAACGCGATACGCCGCGTCCGGATGGGCAAAACGAGCCGCAGCGGCCCCGCGCCCGTCCGCCCCGCACCGCACCGCTCTCCTACAGCCGGGGCCGCGCTCCCCTCTCCGGGGCTCGGGGCAGTTTCGGCGGTGACATTCGGAGGGGTTTTAAGCACCTTCGGCTGCACGGGGAGAGAGCGGCGGAGGCGAGCAGCACGTCGGAGAGCTCCCGGCTGTAAATCACGCGCTAAGTGAGGAGCGCGGCTCCCGCTCGCCGTAGCTCCGAGCTATTTGGGGAGGAGGCATCCTCCTCCCGCACTCTCGCAGGTGCAATATGAATCAATTATCTTAATTAAGATAATGCCGCGAACCCCCGAGATTTTCCCGGGAGCGATTTGGAGCTCGGGACACCGAGAGGAGTTTCGCAGCTCGGCCCCTGCCTCCCCGTTCCCGGCGGTCACGGCTCTCCCGAAGCCCTCCGGAGCCGGGCCGGGGGCAGCAGCTGAGCCCTGGCCGTGGGGGACGAAGACGACGACGACGACGACGACGACGACGACGACCGGGGCTTTGTCGGGCCGCGTGCGGCTCGCGTGCGGCGCTGCGGGGGGTGGGAGGGGAGGGGAGAAAAGAGAGTGGAGGGTGAGGTAAAGAGATCTGAGGGAAAAAAAAGCAAGAACAAAAAGGAAAATAAGGAGAATTAAAATCAAGTCATAAATGAGGGAAAGGACAAGGAAAAAAAAAAGGGGTGGGGGAAGGAGAAAAAAAGCAAGGGGAAAAAAAGGAAAGAGAAAGATGGAGAAAATGGGGGAAGGAAAAGAAAAGGGGGAAAAAAAGAAAAAATAAAATAGAGAGGAAAAAAAGAAAAAATAGAAAAAGGAAAAGGAAAGAGAAGAAAAGAAGAATTATAAAAGAAAAAGAGGGAAAGAGGAAAAAAATAAAAGAAGAAATAGAAGAAGAAAAACGAAAAGGAAAGAGAAGAATTTAAAAAAAAAGAAAACTGTAAGAGAAAAAGGGGAAAGAAGAATAGGAAAGGAAGAGGGTGAAAAGGAAAAAGAGTAAAAAAAATAGAATAGGAAAGGGAGGAGGGCAGGAAGAAAAAGAGAAATGGGGAGAAAAAAAAAAAAAAAGAAAGAAGAGAGGAAAAACAAAGAAAGGGAAATGGGAAAGGAAAAAAAAAAAAAAAAAGAAAGAAAAAAAGAAAGAAAGAAAAGGAAGAGACTCGGGGGGAAAAACAAGAAGCAGCCAAACGAGGCAGATGGAGGAGGAGGAGTCTGTGGGTCGGGGGAAAGAGTCGCTCGGAGCGATGACACCAGGGGGCTGCGGGGAGGGACGGGGCGTTGGGACCGGCCCCGGGAGTGTTGTGGGAGCGGCAGAGCGCTACCGAGAGCGAGTACCCGGCCTGGCCCCGACGTGCGGCACGGGGCTGCCGCTCCTCGTCGCCGCGCTCCGGGCCTCCTGTCCCGCCCCGTGCGTCCGTCCGCGCCCGTCACACGAACACCCCGAGATGCCGCGGCTCCCGGCACACGGCGTAGCCCCGCTCCCGCAGTTCCCATCCTCCCTGCGGGTCCCCGCGGGTGCCGCCGCCCACGGCCCCGCGCCGTCCGGGCCCCGCGTCCGCCGCCGCCGCGGAACAATGGGCGCGGGGCGCGCGTGCCGCTGGCAGATGGCGGCGCCCGGCGGGCCACCACCGGGGGCGGGGCGGCGCGGCGGGCGGCCGGGCGCGGGGCCGCATACAAATGGGGGCGTCACGTGGGGCGCGGCGCGGCGCCGGACGTTGAGCGGCCATCTGGCGCGTGCCGCGGCGGCCGCGGGGCGGGGCGGGCAGCGGGGCGGGGCGCGGCGCGGCAGGGGGCGGGCGCAGGCGCGCGGGGCGGGGGCGAGCGGCGCGGCCCCGGGCCCGGCCCCCGCCCGCCGCCGCCGCGATCCGCCGGCCCCGCTATAAAACCGGGGCGGCCGGCACTGCGCCCTCGGAACGACGCGCCGCGCCCTCGCACCCGGAGCGCGCCGGCGGACGGCGGCGGGGTTATGCGACCGTCACCGCGCGGGAGAGGCTGAGAACGGAGGTAACGGGTCCGGAACGGGGTGGGCACCTGTATGGGGATACGCGCCGCGCGGGAGCGGTCGGGCAGGAGCGCGGAGCCAGCAGCTGTCCGCGGCGTCGGGGCGCGGGCGGCGGGAGGAGCTGCGTCCCCGGGGCCGTCCCTGTCCCCGAGCGCTGTCTTCCCGCACCCGCTCTCATCTCCCGTCCCGCGACTCCCCGGCACCCGCCCGGCTTCGAGCAGTGCCACTGACCGGCGCTGTCCCTGTCCTGCAGGCGCTCGCCATGACCAAGTCGTACAGCGAGAGCGGGCCGGCGGGCGAGCCGCAGGCGCAAGCCCCCCCTGGCTGGGCGGCAGGCTGCCTTAGCCCGCCCGCCGACGGGCCCGAGGCCGACAAGAAGGAGGAGGACCTGGAGGCTCTGCACGGCGAGGCCGAAGAGGACGCGCTGCGGAACGGTGAGGAGGAAGACGAGGAGGACGAGCTGGACGAGGAGGAGGAGGAAGAAGAGGAGGAGGAGGACGACGAGCAGAAGCCCAAGCGGCGCGGCCCCAAGAAGAAGAAGATGACCAAGGCACGCCTGGAGCGCTTCAAGCTGCGCCGCATGAAGGCCAATGCGCGGGAGCGCAACCGCATGCACGGCCTGAATGCGGCCCTGGACAACCTGCGCAAGGTCGTGCCCTGCTACTCCAAGACGCAGAAACTTTCCAAGATCGAGACGCTGCGCCTGGCCAAGAACTACATCTGGGCACTGTCTGAGATCCTGCGCTCCGGCAAGAGCCCCGACCTGGTCTCCTTCGTGCAGACACTGTGCAAGGGCCTCTCGCAGCCCACCACCAACCTGGTGGCCGGCTGCCTGCAGCTCAACCCGCGGACGTTCCTGCCCGAGCAGAGCGCGGACGCCCCTCCGCACCTGCCGCCCGCGGGAGCGCCCTTCGCTCCGCCGCCCTTCCCCTACGCGTCGCCGGGGCTGCCCAGCCCGCCCTACGGCACCATGGACAGCTCCCACCTCTTCCACCTCAAGCCGCCGCACGCCTACGGCGCCGCGCTCGAGCCCTTCTTCGAGGGCGGCCTGCCCGAGGGCGCCGGCCCCGCCTTCGACGGCCCGCTCAGCCCGCCCCTCAGCATCAACGGCAACTTCTCTTTCAAGCACGAGCCCGCCGCCGACTTCGACAAGAGCTACGCCTTCACCATGCACTACCCCGCCGGGCCGCTGCCCGCCGCGCCCGCCCACGCCGCCGTCTTCTCGGGCGCCGCCGCCCGCTGCGAGCTCCCGGCCGACGGCATGGCGCCCTACGAGGGGCACCCGCACCACGAGCGCGTCCTGAGCGCGCAGCTCAGCGCCATCTTCCACGAGTGAGCGCCGCCGCCGAGCGGGGCCAGCAGCAATAATTCGGATCTATGCAATTTTTAACCTCGCGATGGGCCAATTACAAAATATATATGAGATCTCTATTTTTCAACCAACGTTTTACTACTTGTTACCTTTCCCGCGCCGAATTATTTTGTTGTGGTTTTGTACAGAATTTTTAATGACTTTTTATAACGTGGATTTCCTATTTTAAACCATGCAGCTTCATCAATTTTTATACATATCGGAAAGGTAGAATTATATCTAATTTATACGAAATAATTTAACTAATTTAAACCAGCAGAAAAGTGCTTAGAGAAGTTCTGTTGCCTTAGCACTGCTTTCCTTTCAAATCGTTAAAGCAAAACAAACAAACAACATGAAGCGTAATCCGGGCAATTTCTTTCCCATTAAAGTCTTTTTGGTTCTTTTTTTTTTTTTTTTTTTTGTCTTTTTTTCCATTTCTTTTTCCTTTCCCCCTTACGATCAGAACCAGACCCCCAGCTCTTGAGAAGATAGAAGAACGAAAGACTTATTTTCTATTAAAACATATCAGTTCAATACGTGACTTGCACAAACTTGTATATAAATATTATAAGCAAATGCCAACACCCTTCTTAAATCAAAAGCTGCTTGACTATCACATACAATTTGCACTGTTTCTTTTTAGTCTTTGAGCCCCCTGGCATCCCGTGGTGTTTTTTTTTTTGGTTTTTGGTTTTTGGTTTTTTTTTTCCTGCAGAGAACTTGAAGCTCTCGGTGTTTCCGGACGCTGTAACTGCATGATTTTAGACATATTCACACGATCCGTGGTTGTCATTCGCTCGTCTCATCACTCGGAACCTAAAGCTGAGCAGGTCGTTGGAGTCGGGCTATATACCTATTGTAGTCGATTAGTACGGTAGCTTGAAACAGATTCAAACCATTTAATCCGTAATTAGAACAATAGCTATTGCATGTACAATGCAGTCCAGAATAAGTGCTGTTTGAAATGTAACGCTGGTTCAACTGGAATCAAATCTGTACTGTAATTTTGTTTGTAAACCTGTATATTATGGTGTAATGCACACTGGGATTTTAGGAAATGTCCATCCTTTTGCAACAACCTAGTATTGAACATTTGGTCGAATGTTGCATTTCTCCTTCAACGTGATTTTATTTTTTCTTAGTGTAAGTAATTCCTATGGGATTATTGTTTTACTCGGATAGCTCATGGAAGGTGCGACACTTATTATTTGTAGAATAAAATTGGACTTTAAAAAAAAAAAAAAAAAAAAAAAAAAAAAAGCCACCACTAACAAGAACAAACCGAGGACGCGGCTTCTTGCTTGCAGCGCGGGGCCGGGACGGGGCCGGGACGGGTGCTCGCAGCGGGGCTGCCAGGTAGCGGGAGGACGGGGCTCCGGGACGCGCGGACCCGGAGGTGCGACCCGCAGCGAGCGGCCGCAGTCAGCAACAAGTCGGCGCCCGACGGCAGCCGCTGCCCTCGCTCGGAGCCTGCAGAAAACGCGCGGGTCTCTCGGGCACGGCCCGGCCAGAGCAGCGGTGGGGGGGGGGCGGAGGGGTGCTGCTCCCCCGTCAGCCCCTCCTGGGCAGTGCCGGGCTGTAGCGAGCCCCGTAACGGGAACGAGCGCCTATGCTCAGACGGCTCCCGAGGACCGACCCGGGTTTGTTTGCCATTTGGTTACGTGCCTTCTTCGCCAAGGCAAGGATTCTTCTAGTCAAGGGGCAACTCGCATGCCACCATCTTTTATTCAAAGGCAGGCACAGATGTTCCTTCTGCAGGGGAGGTTTTAATTTATGAAAATGATATTGTTTATGCATGAATGCACTCTGCATAACACACAGTACTTCCATCTGATGAGAGAAATACTGCAGAACCAGTGCCAATGTCAGGAACATATTCTGCAAATTTAGTCGCTTAAATGTTTAATGAATATTTGGAAGCCATTTCCAAACCACAAGGAACCTATTCAATTACCTTTTTCTTTTTTCCCCAATTAATAACTAAATCCAACTCCTCTAGCCAATGCAATTTACTTAAAAGACCCACCTAGGCTTTCTTGGGTATTTGCTACTGCTATCCTTAATAACATTTTAATGTTATGAGCAATTTAATAAGGAAATTAATTAGGCATTTTGGTAACTAGAGGCTCCATTTTGAAAATCACTTGTGAGTTCTGCTATTACCATTAGTTTAGGTTTTTTTTTTTTTTTTTTTAACCTATAGTATACTAGAGTTGTTTGGTTGTTGTTGTTTTTTTTTTTTTCCTTCAGTGCTGTTCCTGCTATCTCCATGATATTTAGGTTTTTTTAATTGTTAGTATAAGGCTAAGTCCAGAGATGTCTGCTCGTGACTCCCTTGGGAAGGTCTATCAAGGTCTCTTTCAAAGGAAAGAATTACTCATACCGTCCCTCTCCTGTGAACGTATCGCTAATTAACTAAGGCTATAGTGGGATTATCTAACTTCCTCATGCGAAGGAAACCGAGGGGTTGAGTCATCCCCACACACACACTGGGTAATCCAACAGAGGCCTAGAATGCTATTTTTATTGCTCTTCGGGACCAGTGGTCTTTCCCTCCTCCTTTACACCATATTTCTCTGATGGCAGAAATCATTCTGCTGTGAGTGTATGCTCGAGAAGACACCAGTGCAATCTTTGCGAGAACAGTGCATGAGCAACAACAGTCCAACTGGCACATCTGCCCTGCTTGGTTTTTGCAGCAAAAGGTTCGGACCTGGAGGTTCTGACCCACCACCATCTGTGACGTGGCTGAGGCTCCAGCCATAAGAACTCACGTCCACAAAGTGCCCAAGAGGCAGAAACCTCGGGTTTTGCCTACCTTGAATAAAAGATGGGGCCGAACGTCATCAGGCTCTGGGCCAGTGCTTTCAGGAGGGCTCCAGGAGTGGAGAAGAGTTGAAGCTCTGGAGAGAGCCAAAGGCCCTGAAACACCAGAGAAAATCAGAGTATTAATTTCTCCAGGAGTTACTGTTCAGAATGTTAATGAAGTAATATCAAAAAGAACAGGTAATAGGTATTAATACAAATTATTCTAAACTAGGTTTTGAGAGCAAGTAAACCAAGCCTTTTCTATCATCTGTAACAATAAAAATTACTGCACTTAGCATTGTAACTGATCAAAGTTGGATTCATCATGACCTGAACGGTGGCTTTTGACATATTAAAATATAACACATCCCTCTCATAGAAATAAAAGGTTACTAACAATACAGTATTCTGTGCAAAGAACCTCATCAAATAGTTTTTGAAATTACAGAGCTAAATGCTCCTTCCCTTGTTTATATATATATTATTTAAAATAATTAATCTTTCATTTCTCAGTCATTACTGTTCAGGAAGAAATCACAGAAATCAAAGCCTGCTTGGTAAAGTAGCAGGGAAAATATGCAGAAATTGGTCTTCGCTTTTATTCACCAAGGCAGATTTTATAGTAGTTATTTTTGAAATCAGAAATGCTCTGCACTCATTCCTTAGCTCTAAATCCCTTATTATGTAAAGTCTTGAAAAACAGCATGTGACTACGTATTGAAGCAGAGAGATGAAGATCTACAAATAGACTGTTCCTTAAATATGTACATAAGTGTTTTTTAAATAATTCATACATGTATTTAACAAACTGTCAGAAGCTATGCAATACAAAATTAAAACTGACAATGCTCTCAAAGCGTTCTCTCAAGTATTTAGGTTGCCTACAGGGTATGTAAAACATAGACTTTCAGCCCTGGCTTTCAGTTTCCTAGATTGTAGTAGTGTGGTTTGCAGTTATTGCATTTTGCGTGAAATAGAAAAAATTAATGTGTATGGTATTTGCCAGCATTTTGTTGATGATAGAATAAAAGATTTATATTAGAACCTCATTTTCTTAAAAAGAGCATATTGACCTTAATAGAAAGAAAGAACGAAATGCCTTCTGGTGAACTCATTCTATTATATTTCCTTCCACTACCACATTTTCTATGACTTTCTTCTTTCCTTTTTTTCTCTTTTAAAATCATGATTATATTATTATTTTTGTTAAGATTGATTTCAGCTCCCAGTGCTCTTGGAATGACGTAAGCTTCATACTCCATTCCTATTTCTTCAACCTTTTCAGTCCTTCATGTTTTTCTCTTTGCGGTCATCTCTGCTAAACCTACTTGGTCACTTCTACAACTTCAGGCTTTGTTTTCCTTATCTGCTCTTCTTTATCTTCATGTTTATTTTATATTTTTCTCCTTTTCCTTTTAGGTGTTTTCTTTCTCCTTTTCAGGCATACAGACATATATAACAATAGCAATACTCTCTTCTACAGACTATTGCTACTATTTTTTTTTTCTGCAAAATATTTAATTTTTGACCTTATTCATAAAACGACATTCTGCTTAGTATTTCTTGTTTGAAGTCAAGGAGAAACAACAGAGATTAATTAATATTGACAGTTCTAATAGGTTTTTTTTCTATAGGAGGAATGCAAGAAGAAGAAACAGTTATGAGAGCTAATATTTGGGAATGAAAACCCAAAGTATAACTGACTACACATCCAGCCTTTATTGCATGAACACAGTAGCCAGAAAAACACAAACCAAGGAGATGCTGCCAACTTCCTAATTCATGTTTATCCAAAAGAAAACCTAGAGATTTTTTCATCCAGCTGGTGAAACAGAACTTCCAGGAACGTCCAGGCCAATCCTCCAGAGTGAGCAAAGAGTGCCTTCTTCACAGCATCCTCTCCTCTTGTCTTAATATCCACACCCCAAATCCAGCATCATATCATGCATGAATCAAGACCTGGCCTTCTAATCTCTCACCTATTCACCTCACTGCATTTTTCTACTCCTTCCCTTGAGGGAAAGGATTTATTTTCTAACAGCTTGCTTTACCTTGTTACTCTCCTCCAGTAATTACTAGCTGTGCTTCCCTCCCCCACTGCTCCTTGCAGAGAGCTGTAAAGCCTATTTCTTCATTAAGTTTTCCTGGAAGAGATTTTTGAGACGCCCACTGCTTCTTAGCACCTGCACAGTCAGAGATGGCTTCCTTTGTCTGGTGAGGAATGCTGTCAGCTGAGGAGAAGCTGTTTGTTCCCTGCTACTTCTTGTCAGGGCCGAGGATGTTCCCTTCATTTAGTTCAGCTGCCTGGCTCCGAGGCCAGCACAGCACACAGACATGCATAGTCTCCTCTGGTCTGCTGAGAGATCCAGCTCTGACAAACCCCAGGCAGGATCTTTGCAGCCTGACAAACAGTCTAGCTTCATTTGGGGACTGATCTGTCACCATGGACTCCCTAGTGCCTGCCAGACTGCTGATGACCACAGCTGCTGTCACTAGCCCTGACCTGCTGATTCTATTTCCAGTGATAGACTGGGCCTAGCTTTTTGCACAGACTGGTCCAGCTACCTGGAGCCTTGGCCAAGCGTGCCTACAGGTGGCTTTGCTCTGTAGGACATAGGGCCTACCTGTCTGGTACTCACTGTCAGTTCCTCTGTGGGCAGCCTGCCCTCCCTACCCCTTGATGCTCTCCTTCATGTTTCTGGCTGCCAGAGTGCTAAGGGCACTGAGGAGCATTAATAGCCCAGACCAGCCCCACCTGCAACCTGGGCCCAACCAAGGGCCCAGAGCTCTATTTAAGCTCAGCCTTGAGTCCTTCTTTCCCTACTCCAGAGAAGCTGTGAGATGCTGGTTCTAATAGCTGCAACTCTGACAGGAGAGGAGCTAGACCAGTGGTGTAGCCTCAGCCCTGTTTTTTTTTGCTGCAGGTTTCCTGGTGGCTAAGTCTCCTGGCTGATGCTGGCACCTGCCCTGGACTGCTTCACCAGGTACCATATGTGGTCTGGGAGGGACCTGCTGTGCTCACCTAGAGTCCTCTCAGGGGGGGAACTGGCTGTTGCCCTGACAGTGGCATGTTTTCCCTTCATGCAGGGCTCTCCTCCTTTTGCCCTTTACTGCTCTTACAAGAGCCTTCATCACAAAAATGAATAGTAATAAGACACTTCCCGAGGCAGCTCTACAGGCTCTAAGGTAAAATAGAGTAAACTTGTTTTCAAACTAAAATACTGAATGAAACACTTTTGTGAATTCAGCTCTATGGTATGTTATACCTGCTGTATTATAAAAATACATATCTTGCCTGTAATTATCAGTGGGGAAAAAAATACACACAACAGGTATGTCTTATACAGCACTGCTGAAGAACAAGGTGTACTTGTGGTCTGGTGCACAAGGTTCTTCTCCCTGGATCCAAAGGATGTACATTAAATTCAAATTACCCTGTGCAGAAAACACTAAATACTTATATTCCAAAGATGTTCAAATACTTATAAAGGGTAACACAACACTGTCCTTCTAGATGCCCTTTAATGGGATTATCAATACACAGAGACCTTCTTAAAAGAAATGACAAGGAAGCTCTAAATATGAAAGTATGGCTTGCAATATACAAGATAGTTAAAAAAAATCAGGCTGGACTATGATTCTTTGGCATTTTTTCCCAATTCAAAGTAACCATCTGAAAACTTGTGGTATATATACATATAAAAAACAGCAACAACAAAAAGCACCAAAACAAACAAAACTAAGTAGACTTGCATCAAATAGTATTTCTTCTTCCCAGGGGAAAGTCTGCCTCAAACTTAATGGACTGTGGTGATAGGGGATTTTGGTTGCATACAAAGAATGCATAGACTTCTAGACAGAGATGAAAACCATAGATGAAACATGCAACTCCCTTAATTCTACTATTTTGTTTTAATCTACTAGCAACTAATATCTTACCAATTTAATAGTCTTTTATTATCATTACATGGAGTATTGGAACTCTCAATGACATTAATGGAAGAATATTGCGAGTCAGGGAAGTGTAGCAGTCTTTCACTAAAAATATTTTACATTTCTATGGAAGTTGTTAACACATCCTTTTCTTAATCTTGTGAGGAATAATCTAGTGAAAATACATAGATATGTGGATGGGATAGTCTAGTATATGATAGTAGGGGATTATAAAGAATATACTGTCTCAAGAGATTAAATAATTAATTTTAAATTGTTCTCTTATTAAAGATTTACCTTTCCTTTAGAACCAAATGAATGAAAACATGTTCAAAAGCTCTGATGTCCAAAACTAGATAAAGTTTAATTGTTCAATCTACTGCTGTATCAGAAAGGTAAATGGACAAGATTTTTCTTTTTAAGCTTGTAACTTTTCCTGCCTTCTCACGGTTATCTTTAGATGAGAAGATATATTTTGCATGCAACTTTTGTATTCTGTACATATTTCAAATTATTTGCATCTTATTTGATTACTCTGTAATCAAGGTGTTTACATTCCAACAGAGGAGATCTAAGGGACAAAAATACTGACACATAGTCAGAATAAGACGATTGATGCTAACGGCTTTAAGCAACCTGGAGCTTCATGTGATCGTGGCTCAGAAGGGCAGATTTGCCAGAGCTGCTTCTCAATTAAAGCTAAATCAACATCTAATTCAACAGCACTTACAGGTTGTGCACTTGGCAAATATTCAGAGCATATTCAACATAACAGGAATACATAACTATCAAGATGACCTTGTACTGAGATTGAATGTCTTTAAATGTTCCTTTTGGCTGTGTAATCTGTCTTTGATACAGGTGTTTATGGAGCTACTAAGGAAGGCAGCTTTACAGTCACAAACTCATGAGTTACCTCACAGACTTCCAGCCCATTTGATTGCAGAGAAGTTGGCCTATTTCTGCCAGCAACTCTCTTCTAAAGACCCAAGCACACAGAGACTTGGATATTCTGACACACAATCTGAAGAACTGCAGCTTACGTCACTCAAAAAGGGCAGTGTTGTTTTTTTTTTTTTTTTTTACTGCTTTATTTCTTTCTGCTACATAGCATTACATCTCTAGCCCTATGTCTTGGTAACAAGATTACTGACCTGCTCGTTTAATGGTATCCGTGCGTTAATAAGGCAGCACGAAGTTATACAACTCAGAACTAAAAAAGCCCTCGCCGTTTTCCTTCGCGTTAAGCGCTTGCAGGCTCAGCAGCACCTGCCAGACTGGGGCCGCCTCAGGAGCGCTGATGCGACCGCCCTCAGCGGGCCTCTCCAAGAGCGCAAGCAGCGCGCCTAAGCGCCCCGCGCGAGCCGCGCGCGCTTCCGTTCTCCCGCCCAATCTCCCTCCCTCGGCGGCCGCGGCCCCGCCCGCGAGGCGGAGCGGGCGCTGCCCTGGCAGCCGCCGGGACGCGGTGGGAGCGCTGAGGGGCGGCGGTGCCGCCATGCCGGGCGCCGCGGGCCCCTTCCTCCCGCGCAGCCGGGACCGGCCCGAGGAGCGGCGGCGCAGAGTGGCCCCGCTGGCGGCCGTACCCCCGGCGGGAGAGGAGGAGCCGCTCCTCAGGGGCATCTTCGAGATCGGCAAGAGGAGCTGCGACGTGGTTCTGAGCGCCCGACGGCTGCGCTGGAGTCCCATCGTGCCCGAGAGCCCCGCAGGTGGGACGGGCCGGGCTGCGGGCAGGGAGGTGGGGTCCCGGCATCGGGCTGCCGCTCGTGGCGAGCGGAGCGGCTGCTGGCGGCGCTACGAGGGGCTGCGTGCCGAGCTGCTCCTTCGGAAGGGGCCGTACTGCATGCAGAAAGCGCGAGCTCTGAGGTGTGTTGTAAGGCAGTGGGACCTGCTCGGGCTGTGCTGGTGGGTGGGGCCAGCCCACCGCTCTTCCATGCAGCAGCGTGCTGCGAGATGCGCTGCCTATGGAGTCAAGTGAAAAATCATGCAGAAAAGGCATGCTCCTCTAATTTATCCAAGTAATCTTTTTTTTTTCTTTTCCTCCTAAAAACTCGGGGAGCTTAAGCTCACTTTCAGAACGTCACGTGCACTCTTCCAAGTGCCTGTGAGCTGAGGTGACCTCGTGGTGCTAAGGGAAGGACGTGTCAGGGCTGTTCTCCAGAGCTGCGGTTCTCTGATCATGCAGCTGGGTGCTATTACAGCACAGGTGGCCTGTCTAGGCGCACACACCGTGTTCGTTGTGGTATTGCTTTGGAAGGAACTTGCTGCAGAGGAACGCACTCTCAGCCTGAAGCTGAAGTTGTGCTCTGCTCGATGTAACCTTGCAGGGACATCAGAGCTGCTCCAGCCAAACCAGCATGGTGTGCTGGCTCATGGCAGCATTATGCTCACACTTCAATACCTGCTGTTCAGCAGAGCAGCAGTTCTGGTGACACCTGTGCAGGTGTTAGCATGGCCCTGCTTTACACAGCTGGGGTGGGAGTCTCGGTAATGCAGCACTGAGGCTACTCCTCCTCCCTGGCTGGGGTTATCTGTAGGTCTCTGTGTATGTGGTCTGAAGCATCAGTTATGAATTATTTAGTTCTGTGTGCAAGGTATTAAAGTGCACTGTATTTAAAGTCAGTTCCAGCACTGTCATGGGCTTTCTTTGAGAATGAAAACATCTTGAAAGGAAAACTGTCAGGTTGTTCCTGAGTCCCTTTTGGTCATGCTGTGATGGGAACTCAGTGGTCTACCTGAAGAGTACTCAGCAGTATCCCTGTGATGCCTTCTTTTGGGCTGGCTCTGCGTGTGCCTGCTGGTGTAGGCAGGTGAGCAGCGTGAGAGCTGAGGGTTTTTGTTCTGGGCTTGCTGTTCTTGCAGGGATGGATACAGAGAAAGGCTGTTCTGATTTTCCTTTCAGCTTGGGCACTGGAGGTCAGGATGGCTTTACTTCTGTAATTGCAGAGGTCAAATAAGGATTTGTAATTTGGATGCTTGTTCTCTCAGACTCTCTTCCGTCCCATAGGGATACTGGTGGTGGGATGTGCACTGGGGCTGCAGGAGCTTCTTGTGGTTATCTTGTACAGTGCAAAAGCAGTGAGTACTTGGGCCAAGCTGTGAACAGGCATAGGAGATGGTTGAGGACTATCTGAACAGCTTGTTCAGAATGCTTTTTTTTCCCTGGGATTTTGTTTAAGCATATTTTCTCCAAACCAAAAGCTTCATAATGTCATTTAATGCTGACTCAAACAAGGAAACTCACTTTGTTAGGTGGCCTGAGCCTGATGCTAAGTGTCTCTTGCTTGGTCCTGCGTGTACTAACTCTTCCTCTTTTAGGAAAAAGTCTTTTTGTGGCAGACATATCCAAAGGGTACAGGTAGTCACTAATTCCTCTTTTCCCGTCCTCCCTCAGTAGTTCCCCAAATTGCTCCTGCCTTGCTGATGTCCTTGCTTGTAACCTGCAGCTCTGTAGCTCTTGTTGTCAGGCACATTGCTCAGCCTTGGCTCTGTCCCTAATACACAGTCTCTGCTCTGGCTGGGCTCAGTCACCTACACCCTAATGTAAGCAGAGTTCTGCACCACTGAACTGTTTCTGTGGAGCTCTTGGTCAGTGTGTGGTTACCAAGCTCTATTCCTCCTTTACCTTCTGCAGCGTCTGTCTCCAGAGGGGTTTTGTCTTACCAAGTGATGGTCTGCTGTGAGTTTCCTGTACCCTCTGCACTAACAGAGCTTTGGACAAGAACGATGCAAATGAGCGTGGGTCTGAGGCTGGAGTCAGGCAGGCAGAGCAAAGTGGGGCTCAGCCCCCTGCCCCAAGGCTGCAATTTGAGCTCAGGATGCTGAGCTCAGCCTGTGCAACCTGCTGCCCTGACACGGGTCAGGTTGCTTGCTTTAAGAATGTGTCTGGTGATGTGATGAAAGCACAGTTCACAGTCACTAATTACTAGTTTTTACTCCAGTTTCTTTCCATATGGCTTTCCTTTGCTGTAACATTCACTGAAATTGTCTTCCCTTTCTACATTAACAATCTAGCACCAGACTGTAAGAGCTTCTCCTTCTGGATGCTGCTTAAAATGCCACACAAGAGAAGGTTGTCTGAAATGCAGATGTGAATGTTATGTGATTTTTAGGAGTTCTCAGAAAATAATAAACATAACTGAATGATGGAGAATCCTTCCAGAAGAGATGCTCAGAATGAAATATTTTTTTTGTGTGTGACTGAAGTTTAAGAGCTAGCAAAATACGGGGGATTAGCAGTGGTGGATGTGGGAATTATTTGTATTTTAGAACAGTTTCTGTTTATATAATTTCAATTCATCCTCCTTTACTTTGTTCTTCCAATAAAACATGGGTTGTTTGGGTTGAATTGTTTGTCTTTGACTGATATTTCCTTACAGCCTTCAGCATCTTTTTGAAGATTGCCACAGAATTTACAAACTGAAAATTTCAGTTTTTCAGCAGATTTCTATCAGATAAGAACTAGAACAAACCCAGCACAGACTCTGTATTTACTGGCATGAGAAACCCAGAGGGTTTTGCTAATTGTGAAAACCTTTTTGTAAATGTAGTTTGCTGTGTGTTTAGTGCACTTGATTGAAGAGTGTATGAACTCATTCTTTCAGACTGACAGCAGGTAAGCATGGGCTGAGTATTTGAGTAATAAACCTGTCGGATAAAACCTTGTTTTTAAAATATAAATAGTAGAACAAAATATTCTAAATTAATTGACTGGCAAGAAAGTGCTGTGGAGTAATATTGAGGTTAGCATATTATTGACAGTATGCTTTTATAGTGAAGTAAAAAAAGATCAGTGTGTAGGCTAAGTATGTATAGTATCATCTTGTTGTTCATTAAAATCTGGAATTATAAATGTTCTACCTAAGTGCAGCAATAAGGAAAAAATCACTGATGTATTGAAACAGGGAAAGAATCAGCAATAAAGGACTTAAAATTAATTCCGAGTGGAGGGTGGCCTGCTGCCAAGGCTATTTAGGAACAGATGTGGGTGAAATGGATACCAATAGTCTGTTTGGGATCTCTAAAGTAAGACATCTGTCAGTCTGTTGGTCAGTGAGGAATAATGGAAGTGGGAACTGGCTGTGAAGCACTGAAGTGAGCTTTGGGTCACATTGGGGAGCTTTTGATTCCGTGTCTGATGTGGGGAGAACGTAATTTCTCCAAGTGTTTTATGTATTGTCCAAATAGGAAAAGTACTTCTGAGGAAGAGATATAAAAACAATACAAGTGCAAATGCTGTATATGAACTGTATGAATATATGACTCTAAGATGTGAATTGAAGGAAGAAATCATACAGTCTTAAGTGATCCCGTGGTTTCTAAATGTGTAAGAGATTAATTGTTTTTTTCTTTTTCTGAGAAGTCCACATCTCTTGGGTGAATGCTGCATGAAATTGTGAAGGAATTTGTTAATTTACAATTTTTTGGGGAAAAAAAAAAAAGAATAAAATAAATGAATTTATTTTAAAGAGAATTTATTTCAGGGGACTTGTAGACATCACGTCTTGATTCTGTGTGTCTTTTTCCTTTCAGTGGCAGGTCGGTGTGGGAGAGTTCATAGCTAGCTGTGTGCAGAACTCTTTCCATTGCATGAAGTTTTTTTGTGTTTTTCTCTTATTCATGTGTTTGTGCACCTCCTCGCATCTGTCGAAAGGGATCAACACGCACACAGCATCCAGCAGTGGCTTTTTAATGTATTTTATTTCTCTATATTCGAAAAGAGAGAGAGGGTAGTAAAATCCTTGCCCAGGAAATAGCTTTCTATGTGAAGTCTTGCAAAGTATCTTCATGTGTGTGAGCTTACATGTGTGTTAAAACATACGTTGGCGACTTGCACTCCAGTGTAACTTGAATTTGAAATAATAGAATTCTGCAGCTATCTGTTACACAAATAACTCTTCTTCATAGTGTTTACGTTCTAATCTAAAAGTATTTGATTTTGATACTGTGTGCTTTGTTACCTTAAAGTTCTTGTAGGCAACAGAATGGCAAGTTTTAGACTTCCCTAAAGGTGGTGAGGTTAATGTTTTCACTCTCCTGTTGTGCTAAGCAATAATGCTGCTTTGCCATACACTTTCTGGAGGTAAGGCAGAGTTTGGCTTTCTCCATTGGCCCTGCCTGCCTGGCCATTGAAGGGCAGTGGCTGCAGCCCATGATGGAAAGAATTTAAAAGTACGTGTTGAAAAAAATGAAGTTCATATATTTACCAATCTTTGATACCGTATTGCACTAGTGTGTACAAGCATCCCTTCTTCAGTGGTAATTACAGTTCTTTTAGAACTATTGAGAATAGTATGCCACCAAATGTATTTTCTCATACCCCAGTTTCAGAATTGCCTTGTGCTTCAGCCTTTGAGAAGCACTGTTTTGTCTGCCTTGTTCATATTCTAGGTGCTGCTGTAATCTTTTAATGGTTGTTGTTTTACCATATCGTCCCCCAGTTTGTATCCTTCTGCTACACTCCTTTACATCATTTCCGTTGTCAGGTGTTGCTGGCACATCTTGGTTTTCACGTGACGCGCACTCTCTTGTTATCAGTTATCTCTGATAAAGGCACTCAAGTTTGAACTGTGGTTGTGGCTGCTATTTCAGTCCCTTACATTTAGAAGCAGTGCTCTGTAAGCTACAAGAAGCTACGGAACTTTGGAAAAGATGCCTTAAACTTTTTCTTTCTCATTCATTCATTTTATTTTATTTTATTTTTAAACAGCGTGTCCACTTGGGCCCCAAGGCTGCTTTGCCTACAGCTGTTTCTCTCCCCGGTGTGTGCAAGGTGGGGCTGCACCTGCGTGGGGCAGCGCTGGGGATCCTGCTGCCTGGTGAGGTCTTGTGCTGCCGTAAATCCGTGGCACCTGGCCCCGGGGGTTGTGACTGCTTGTGGTGACAGATGGGCTGGAACTCAGAATGTGATGCTCTGTTGCATTCTCTTATTTCGTATTTTGACAAGAAAGATGAAGACATTTCTGTCTGCATTTTACAGTGACAAAACAGAAATAGAAAGAAGTCTGTTGTCTGCCCTTGTTGGAGTCAAAATATATAAAACTTAGGAAAACAATTTTCCGTTCATTGTAGACTTTTTTTATACTATATATATATTTAATTGCATTTATTTGCTACATATACATATTTGTTACATGTATTTAACAAGAATAGCAGGTAATGAGCAGTGGTTGTTGATTTTACACCAAAAATGCACAAATTGGTATGGGATACAAAGTGCCTCTTTTTCTTTGCTGTTTCATTTAGTTGTATCCAATTGTATTAAGCACTGTTCTTAGAGGTAAATTTTTATGTCAATGCAGGTAGTACTCTAAAAATATTTGTATCCTTCTCAGACCATGAATGAAGAAGCCTAAGTGACTGAATACCTGAGAACACAAACCTAAAGAATTGACTTGTCTGTGTACCTTAATACTAGTAGATCATGGAGTTTATGTTTGCCTTCCAAGGAAATCAGTGGTCTTAGTTCTTATGACTTCTGTTGTAACAGTATGCGCAGATAAAAAGCCATAATGTGTTGAATATCTGATACATGTAGTACCATATTGCCATAAGGAACGGCTATTATGTTAGACAGCAACTGATTTCACGATAGTGTTGGATTTCTCTCACATATGCTTGTGTTTTTGTACAGATGATCCTTTAGGAACATCTGCTAGTTTTGTGGTGGTATCTGCTGTTTCCTTTCAAAATTCGACCTTCTCATCATTTACTACTGAGCCTCCTATAGGATTGCATTATACTAAGATCTTTTTCTGAATTGATTTCTGTATCACAGTCATTAACTGTCTGGTTTTTGAGTTAATTGGAT